TGGGTCGGGTCGGGAGACGGGAGAGGCGCTCCTTCCTTCCTTCCTCCCTTCCTTCCTTCCTTCTCCCGGCGGGGCCGCCATGGTCCTGGAAGCCCTGAAGGCCCAGGCCCGGCACTGGGGGCGGCGGGGCTGCCTCTGGTTCCTGGCGGGCCTCTACCGGTGCTGGCCGGCCGCCCTGACCCCTCCGCTCCGTTACAGGCTGGTCTTGGGGATGCTCTACCCGGCCTACGCCTCCTACAAGGCCGTGAAGACCAAGAACATCCGGGAATATGTAAGAGGCAGGAGGGCTGGGGGGGGGAAGAAGAAGGGGCTGGACCGGGGCGGACGAGGCTTTAGGGTCCCTCCCTAGAGACCCCGACGTAGGGGGTCCCTGCCCCACAGCGGGACTGCCTTTTCCAGGGTGACCCAGGCGGAGGGGGCAAAACCCGCCTAACGCTTCTCCCGCTCTTCTGCAGGTGCGCTGGATGATGTACTGGATCGTGTTTGCGCTCTTTATGGCAACGGAGGCCGTGGCGGAAGCCTTCCTTTCTTGGTGAGTGTGGCAGCCCCCCCCCCCACACACATGGCACAGGGCACCGCCCGGAGGCGACGGGCCGGCCGGCAGCCTCCTAGGGCTCAGTGTCTGTCTTCGGCCCACATAACAACAACAGCAGCGGCAGCAGTGGCAGCAAAAGCCGAGGCCCACTTAAAGGGGAGAGATCTCAGTGTGTGTCTCTGGCGACGGTGAGCTGCCGCCTCTCTGGACGCATGCCATACAATTCTGAGGTCAGAGGCTGGTGTAAAGGCCCCCCACCCATGACCCTCTGGTCTAAACCCTGTACTTGGTGTGCTATAACGTAACTTCTGTTGCACCTAGCTCTTGTAACTTATAACTCACTGTATTTCCCAAGTTATCTGCGGCTAGTTATGCCTGCTGGGGGCTTCCGGGAAAACCCCCTTCCCCCCCCCCCGGCCTTCCTCAGTCTCATGGCTCCATCTTCTGTTGAGCAGGTTCCCCTTCTACTACGAGATCAAGATGGCCTTTGTGGTGTGGCTGCTGTCTCCATACACCCGGGGGGCCAGCCTCCTCTACCGCAATTTTGTGCATCCCACATTGTCCCGTAAAGAGAAGGTAAAGGCCCCTCTTTTCTTCTTGTCCAGCTCAGGGGAGAGTAGGGGCCACCAGGGCCAAGTCTGTGTCCAGTGGAGGCCCTTCGGCTTCCCTTCCAGGGAAGACAACCTGGAAGCAGCTGCTTTCGGCCCCGTTCTGAGTCGGAGCCGAATCCTGCTGGGATGAGGCTGAGGGCAGAGACCCCCACTTGGCCTCGGGGGCAGAGGGAGCCCCAGTGGGTGGGACCCCTTGTCTGCTGCCTGCTCCATAAGCATGTTGGGGATTTCACATGGTCCACCTCCCTCTTTCTCTGCAGGAAATTGACATGTTCATCCTCCAGGCAAAGGAGCAGAGCTACGAGACCCTCGTGAACTTTGGGAAGAAGAGCCTCAATGTGGCGGCCACCGCTGCGGTCCAGGCGGCCACGAGGGTAAGCAAACTCATACCCCCCCAAAAAAAAACCTAGCTTGAAAGGCCTTGCCGGCACCCAGCCAGAAGGTGGGTGGTTTTTAACTAGGACACAGTGGCCGTTCCTGTTTGCCCAGATGCCACTCGTGAGACATTTCATCACCCGGGAGAGAAGGCGGGCAGGTGTCCTGCTTGTTAGGAGTTGCTAACAGGGAGAGGAAGGACATGTCAGGCCTCTGGTTGAGACTGTGGCGCTCAGGGCTGGCGGCTGGATTACGCCTCCGGAAGTGGGTGGGCCCTTCCCTTGATGTCTATCCAGCAGGGCTCCGACGGGTGGTATTCTTGAATGACAAACACGGTCGTGTGTTCTCTGCTGTCACCGAGGGCCACAACAGATGACCTTTTCCTGCCTCTTTTGATGTGTCTCCCTTCCCCTGACGGCCTCATTCTGCTGTGCTTAATCTTCTTGACACTTGTGATGCTTTAAAGCCTGGTTTGCAGGCCTCTCCAGTGTCCTGAGGCCACCCCGTTCTTGCCTCTGGGAAATGGGTTCCGATCATCAAAGCAGCCTTGTCCTGCCCCCTCCTTTCTCTCCTCCTTCCTCCCCTGGGCAGGGTCAGGGCGCCCTGGCTGGCCGCCTGCGTAGCTTCAGCATGCAGGATTTGAGCTCCATCCCGGACACGGAGCCCGTGCATTACTCCGACCCGCTGTACCTGGAGGAGGAGCAGGAGCTCTGCCGACGTCCCATTGGTCAGAGGGCTGGCGGAAGAGGTGGGTCGTCCCCCTGGGTGCAGCGCTCTTCCCGCCTGGGCCAGCCCGTGGAGGAGGAGGAGGGGTCCCTCGGTTCTTTGCCCACAGCAGCTGCCGAGAGGGGGGGTTTGCGGGCAGGGGGTGGGGGTGGGAGTGGGCTGTGCCGCTCCTCCCCTGCCGCTCAACACAAGGCCAAGAGAGGGTGCCCAACCTGGCTTGATAGCGAGAGGCTCTCGGCTCCCTGCCGAGGCTTGTTGGTCGCAGGCCAGAGAGTCAGCAGCTGTTCCCTCCCGCAGGACACAGGACGGTTGCCCAGCCCTTGGGGTCAGACAGCCATGAGGAGGACTGCTGGTCAGACTCTGAGCTCTCTGCAGGCCCGCGAACTCGCAAGAAGGACCCTGTGCCCTTGAAGCCGCTGGCGAGGAGCCAGAGCCTCCGCGTGGTGAAGAGGAAGCCGCCGATCAAGGAGGTACGGCTTGGGCGGGATGGGCAGCCCCCGCGTCGACCCGCCTGGCGAGCAGCTGCCAGCACAGCTGGGGAAGCTGCGTGGCCTTGGGAGGGGGACGTCCAGCGCGGGACTCGATCCTTCCCCCAAGGCCACCCCTCCTGATGTCTGGGAGCAAAGGCTATGCACGCTCTGCTGAGGCAGGAGGGAAAGGGGCCCTCCCTTCCCAAAGACTCTTCTGCTTTCCCTCCCCACAGGGCTCCGCTCGGCTGGTGCGAAGTCGGCCCAGAAAGAGGGCGGACGATCAGGAGAGCTAAGCTGCCTGCGGGAGCAGCAGCAGCCCTGGCACCTGTGGGACCAGCGGCCTGAGCCCGCACAGGGCACGGCTGGATGCGGGGAGTGCCGAAGGGCTTGGCAGCTTGCATTGTTTCCTTGGAGGGGTGGGGGGGGTGCGATGGCTGTGAACAGGGATGGAGCTGTTGTGTGTTCAGGATGTCTGCTCCCTAAATTCACCCAGAGCCCCCTAGGCAGAAGGGTGGGACTGGCAGCCCCCAAGGTTAAACCAGCTCTTCCTGGGCTGCTCCTGCTCTGAACCACACAAGAACTTCCCTGCTGCACCATGGGAGCCTCAAGGCTCTCTGTGGCTGACAGAGGGGCCCAGGAGAGGGGGTTCCGTTGGGGGCGGCCCCTCTACAGCCCAGCAGCGGTGGGGACTCGCCTTCCCAGGCGCCTGTGCCTTGTGGCTCCCACCGTGCAGCGGGCAGGTTTTCTTGCAGTTCAGAGCAGGATCTGCAGAGGAAACCCAATATCCTTTGGGCTGGAGGGCTTTCACTCTCACCGGTCTGCCTGTGGGGAGGGGAGGGGTTCTGGGTGGATTCTGGGAGTGGACATCCCAGCCCTGGCTGCCGATGCCTTTCTGAGGCTTCTCTGGTCAATACCCCTGGTGGAAGCCGCCCTGGGAACCTCTCCTGTGCCATAGCTCCTCTGCCCGCCTCCAAATGGTGCCTTGGAGCAGACAGGTGTCAAATGATTCCCCCCCTCCCCGTTGGGCTCACGTACACAGGGTCCTCCCCTCCCACCGCGTGCCTTTGCTGACCCACATTCACTGTGCCACATCCTGACCTGCCTTTTCAAGACAGCAGGTCTGCAGAGATCGCTGTTCAGAAGAAGCCAGGCCCTTGGTTTGCTCCTGGCTGCTCTGAACAGCTGCCGAGGACCACCTGGAGTTGGACGCTTTCCATGGTGGGTTTGGGGTGCAGGAATAGGAAACCAAAGAAAACCTCTGAGTTTCTTGACCGTGACCCAAACCTCACTTAGGATGCCTTGGATTGGTTATCCAATCAGTCTCACCCTGCTGTGAATACACTAACTTTTGGCTACTTGAAGACCATCACTGGCTAGGACCTTAAGTGCATTTGTTCATTTTAGTATATTTTTAAATAAAAGCATCTTTCTTCTAGCATGGCTTTGTAATTGTTTATTTTTTTAAAAAAAACACCTTCTGAATGGGGGAGAGGAGGGCATCAAAGAGCTGCAGAGGAAGCCATTCACACAAGGCCAGGACTCCAGGTAAGGTCAGAGATCCTGACACTTCAATCTCTCTCCAAAGTACAGAACTTTACAGACCTCTAGGGAAATTGCAGAAGCCACAGCTGGCATTCACCCCAATTGAGGGTTAAATTCAGGATGAAACCAGATGGTCTTCCCCAATTTCATCAATATCATCCCATCCCAGTGTCAGGGTGTGAATGCCTTGCCAATGTTGCAATACAGTAATTCCAGACAACAACAGCTTGTTTAATTCTAGAAGTTTTTGTTTTAACAACATATTTTGCTTGTAGCGCTATGGGGCGGTATATAAGTCCAACAAATAAATAAATAAATAAATAAATTTTGTGCCTATGCAACATAGAAGCAAAGTTTTGAAACATTCAGAAGAAAAACTGTAGCCACAAATACTTAAAAAGTATATGAAAACTAAACTTGTGTCACACGTAAAAATACTTAAATCAGAATTCACTCCAAAATGCAGAAGGATAAAAAAATGCAGCCAACAACTGAAAAAGAATGCTTTAAAACTGCTTTCTGAAAATGCAGGAGCTTCTAGTCTGATAGTGAAAAAAACAGGAGCTCTCCCTACA